GTGACAGCAGAATCACTGCAGCTCGAGCTGGAGATCGCACACTTACACTGGATAACCCTGTCGCTCAGTGCTCTTCCTCCTCTGCGTTCATCCTCGCGCGGAATATTACGGTTCCTAAAGCACTTGTGTTGCTCCTCATTCCTACGTCACTTTGGATAAAAGTATGTACTAAAAAATTAATAAATGTAAATGGCAAATCTGAGTACAGTTTGAGTCATTGTACCAGGTCATTATTCACATCCAGAGATTCACACAGTTTTCATCGGCTCTAAACCCGCTGACAGCACAGAGATGAGGGGTCACAACACTGCTGACCTTTGACCTTTACACTCCAGAGGTCAGCGCGACGACACCAACCCTGGCGAACATTCAGGAGAGACGCAGACGTCTAATGTTTTTACTCTGTGTTTTGCACTGATTCACACACACACACACACACACACACACACACACACACACACACACACACACACACACACACACACACACACACACACACACACACACACACACACACACACACACACACACACACACACACACACACACACACAGACACAGACACAGACACACACACACACACACACACACACACATATACACACACACACATGAAGGTTACAGAACTAAAGTCTCTTTTTAAAGAAGAGAAAACAATTTGTATTTATTTATGTATTTTACAAAATAATTTGGACTCTAACATTTCTAGAAAATCAAAGCCGTTTGTGTTTCAAATGTAAAGTTGATATTACAAAAATATTGAGCCGGAAAGTGGTTTTAAAGTACGGTTTCAATGATACAATTTCTGATGATTACTAAAATATGTGACGGGGGAAAATGGCAATTAAAAAAGTCACGATAATTAATTTTTCCCTTGTTTTTTGTTTAGTAAATATATGAATAAAAATGTAAAGGCTAAATAACAAATTTGTATGAAAATATTTTATCTTTGTAACTTTATGTACTTTATTGTAAATGTATTGGTAACACTTACAATAAGGTTCATTAGTTAACATTAGTTAAGTACATTAGTTAGCATGAACTAATAATATACTGCATTTATTAATCTTTGTTAATGTTAATTTCAACATTTACTAATACTTTATTAAAATCTTGTTAACATTAGTTAATGCACTGTGAACTAACATGAACAAACAATGAACAGCTGGATTTTTTATTAACTAACGTTAACAAAGATTAATAAATACAGTAACAAATGTATTGCTCATGGTTAGTTCATGTTAGTTTATTAACTAATGTTAACTAATGAACCTTATTGTAAAGTATTACCAATTTATTATACCTGTTTATAAATATATTTGTAAATAAATGTGTTTGTATTGACGTCCGCCTGCGTATGTTTAACAGAACTACATCTCCCATAATGCTTTGCGCATGCGTCACGACCAATGGGCGGAGTCTCGTGTTCGCGAGTGTCGGTTTGCAGGAGGAGCTCAACAGAACAAACCGACACACAACCCGAGTGGAAAATGTGAACGGAAGACTCGGGATTGGAAATAACGACAGAAACCCGGTATAAGAGTGTTCATATGTGGATGCAATATGATATCTGAGAGGATCTACGCGCTAAAGGTGAGATATTTATTAGATATTTACCCGAAGTTCCACTCAGAGTCACCGCGTCTACACTGAACGCGAGCGACGCGACGCGACAAACTAGAACGCTCCCATCATGAACAACGCGACGCTTGCCGTGCCGACAGGAGCGTTCTGTTGTTTGATGCGTCGCGTCGCTCGCGTTTAGACAGAGTCAACGGGCAGTTTCAGTCAGAATAGCCGTTAAAATAACCGACACTATTCAAACGAATGTTTTTAAATAAGAAAATCAATGTCTAATGGAGGGAGACTGGGACCCGTGTAATGTGTGTGTGTTCAGAGTCTTTGTCACCCGGGACGGGCGGAGCTCGGGTTTGGTGTATGTGACCCGTTACTGTGCATAGCTGGTTTCTGTCCGGTTCTGAACGGGTTTGTGTTGATGGGCGTTTAAAGATCCGCTTGAAGAATCGCAGCCCTCAGATTTGCTTTGGCTCTGACAGCCATTTACTATGGTGACCAAAGTTTCCGTTAAAAACAATAGCGACTACAGTATAATTACTCTACCACAGTAAAACCCTTGTGATTTACAGAGATTGGAGGGTTACTTTAAAATGTATTCCGTATTATAGGTTATTACTTAATAAAAAAGTATTTAGTAACGTAATCTAAACACCACACTATTAAAGTAACGTTAATGTAATCGGATTACTTTTGGATTCCTTAAAGGTCACGTGTGTAAATAAAGAATAGCTACTGTCTTCAAAATGAAGGTTGTCTACTCTTTTAGGGAGATCCCAGATTATTTATTTTAGCATGGTGATTTGGGTTTTGTTGGTTTTATTATTTGGCGACAGTCTTGATTTGTTTTCTATTAGAAGACACTGGCTGTGTGTCAAACCTAGTCAGCATTTTTGGGCCATCAATCATAGTATATTTGTGAATCAATAACATTTTTGGGGCATCATATCAAATGTACTTGCTATATTTCAAGTCGTCCTTGATATTCCTAAAAATGCTGTTGATTCACGAGTTTGATCCCTCACTGTTTGAGTTGGCTCAATATTTGCATGTGTTTCAGTGGTTCGTTGCTCTTTTGCATGTTGACCAGAATGCCTGAGGCATGTGAACGTGATGCTGTCTAGTTAGGTTGTGTCACTTTGGATAAAAGTGTGTGTTAATTCACAGGTGTAAAGTCAGTGGTTGATGGAAAAACTTGCATGGAGTTTATCCGTGATATATTGGTTGATAAAAAGTGAAGTATGATTGTGGACTGATAAAGTTGTAATGGAGAAAGTTATTAAATTTTTTCATTAAAGTCCCCCTGTGGTGAAAATCCAGCTTTTAATGTTGTTTATGTGTCTATGTGGTGTTTTTAATACGCTTAAACCATGTGTAAGTTCATAAGTCGACAGCATTGCTGAGTATTTTCTCCTTAAAACTGCAGTGAACCAAAGACAGTCTCAAAAACACGGTTTGAAATCGCTGGTGTTTCTGACGTCACAAACGACCTTGTAACCAATCAGATCAACGTGTGATCGTCAACCAGTGGATCTCTGAGCTGAGGGAGTGAGTGGAGGCGGGGCTCATTTGCATATTCATAGAACCGCGCATACTAAATGAGGCAAGGGTGTCGGGTTACATTCAAGATATTTTAAGGCATGAAGAAAAAAACATTTAAATTTGTAATTTTGGTGATTAAAGATGAGTTTTAAGGGATAAAATGACTGTAATTGTTTATATACATTAATACATTCGGCCGATGCTTTATCCAAAGCGTCTTACTTACATTGCTTTCAATATACATTTTATAAGTTCATGCATTCTCTTGGTTGCTAGCACCATGTTTGAGCTGATTGGTCACTAAAAAACGTGTTATTGCATGTTGGCTTTAGTGTTGACTGTGTCTGTTTCAGGGTGTTTCATCAGCACTATGATGGACTGTCATGGACAGGTTTGATGGAGACTTCACTCTATAGGGTCTGAACCGCCCGCAACATTCAACACCGTCATCTTCACGGTCCAGTTCTGCATTCGTCCGAGGGAGGAGCGCTCACTCAAACTCATCATCATGATGACGGACGGGTGTCTACGCAGACGCCCTCGCAGGGTTTGAGAACATGCCCAGAACAATCTGAACGACCAGTCCATCTCGACCCGCCGGACTCGGATCATGGCCCAGACCAGCCTGTTGCAGGGCAAGCGCTTCTACTGCCGCGAGTGGGTCTTCCACAAGATCCAGCACTGCCTTCAGGAGAAAACCCACAACCTCAGCGCCCCGGGATCCTCAGAACCGCTGGAGCCCGTCAGCGGGCCGGGGAAGAGCGGGTCGTGGGGGGTTCTGCTGGTCGGCGGACCCGGGAGCGGGAAGACGGCTCTGTGTACGGAGTTACTGTGGCCCGGTTCTGTTCACCGCGGGCTTCACCAGCACTGTCTGGGCTTCCACTTCTGCCGGCCCGAGGACTCGGACACGCTGTGTGTGAGCGGGTTCGTTCGCGGACTGGTGGCGCAGATACGCCGGTCCGGACTCGTCCCGGATTACGAGGAGAAAGTGCGGGAACCGGCGGTCCAGAGCGCACTGCAACCGGGAGAATGCGAGAGGAACCCAGCCGAGACGTTCAAGAGGTGAGGTTTTTTTGCCATTGCCTTTGGCTCGCTTAGTTGGGGACATTTAATTTAATATTCAACAATATTATTGATCTCCTGCATTGACAGCATTATATGAGAACTGAACTGAGCTGGACGATGACATCACGGTTTTCTCCAGAGCGGCTATATATATATAAATGAACTAAATTAAAACTTTTTTACGACAAAATGAATCATCACTGAACTTTCTTAAGCTGGACTGTGACACTATTCTCTTCTGGAAACCAACTTTGCTGCATTATTCTCCTGTTATCTCTGTAAAGCTGCTGTATTGTAAAAAGGTCTATATATAAAGCTGAAGACTTAATCTGTCAGATCACGTTTATTTATATAGTGCTTTATACAACACCGATACACAGAGTTATAAAGGAAAATAACAGTTACGACTTCACCTTTTGAAGGATAAAGCAGTAGGGTTGTGTATCGCTTGAATTTTAACGATTTCGATTCCAATAAGTAAAAAAAAAAAAAACTTAGATGTCATTCACATTTAGTCTTATTGCAAAACATGTAATTGTAGCTGAATATCATGAGCAGAAATCATCAGCTGAAGAACACTTACACAAGCAGCGTTTGCCTGTGGTTTAAAAACACCATAGAAGAACAACTAGCCCAACTAATGTAAACGTAAAGCATTATTAAAGACAAGTAAACACTCGGTCATTAAAAAAGAACTAATAAAATGTCAGCAATCGCAACAAATAGACACACTGAACAAAGATACGATTGAAATAAACAGTGTTTTAAGATTTTCAGGTAAACTGTGTGTGTGTGAGTGTGTGAACTCTAGTCTTTGG